CCACTAGCTCAGAGTCTGATACTTGACTTGGAGGAATCGAAATTTGTGAGATTGTGTTTGTGACGGCTGAAGGCTCATTGAATTCGTCCGTGGATCCTAGGTCGATGTCGAGGTCCATGCTGTCAAGCTCCATGTCTGCTGTGCTCTGGTCCATGTTGATATTTCGCTCCAATGCCGAGCTGGGGTATGAGACCTCCATGTCGAGCAAATGAGGTGAAAGGAATGAGAGGACTTGTAAACGGTCAATGAGATGGAGATTAGTTAGAATATTTACTTTAAGAGAAGTTAGGCACTGCGTTCTAGGTATCCAAAACCATTGTGAGTATCAACTGAGGTGAGAGAATTGGAGATTTGTACGGAATAATGTAAAGGAAGGTATGTAGTATGAGACTATAAGAGGCCCGATCACCTCACGCTGGTAAGAACTACCTTGGCGAGCTTGGGTACGGTACTTCTTTTCTTACCTTGAGGTAAGTCTGGTGCTCTTCCGTTCCCGCTCTTAGCCTCTTCACACGTGTAAAAGTAGTTCCGCTCCAGAGGCTAACCCTTTCGAGGTTCCAGAATTCACGACCACAGGCTGCCTCTTCTTTGGCAATTCAACTGTCTTCCACCGTCTTGACGCCTCTAAGTCCATTGGAACGTATTAAGTCGCTTAGATCTGTCACAATTGTCCACCAAGTTTGCTCGACGATGTTCGCGTTTTAGTGCCCTCTTGCTTGCCCTATTCTCATCAAGATGATCTCTCAACACATAATGCAGCGAGAAAAGAAGGCAGCCTCAAAGCCATTTAAAGTTCTTTTCTTTCTCTACGTTGCCCGAGCAGACCTAGACATTGATATCTCCCACTTCTATCGAGAAGATTGCGACATGTACGAGTACCTGACAGCGCAGCCCATTGCAATCACAAGGCTTCACTTTCATTGGGTAAAAGCCAAACAGACCATTCAGAAAGTCAAGAAGCTTCAATATGACATTCTTGCTGCCATCAATAACACTCTGTAGCCCTCGTCTCTTATTTATGAAGCTGCGCGGGTGGCTCAATAGGAACATAGCTCGAACAATAGCTCTCTCAATCAAAAAGCTTTTCGAAAGCAAATTCCTTTCAATACTATTATTGACCAGACAATGCCGCTGGGTCGCCATGTCGTGGATGCTGTTTTCCTACACAATCTGTTTCCTCCTTCCCATACTATATCACCCATACAATAAATCGTCGCACCAGCATAAAGTATTCAAACAACTTGTCCAAGTGACTAAAGCTCATACCCTTCGTCAACACCTTTTCTTGCATTTTTCGAGTTCCTCCTCGCCTGCCTTGGCTGCGAGTTGACCACTACCGTTTACCACCTCAACCTCTCTTTTCCTCAAGCGCATTGCTTTGGTACCAAAGATCACTACATCTTATCGAGGTTGCATGTTGACTGAGCTTGCTGCCATCTACGTTCGTTAAGGAAGTCCCAACCGCCAAAGCTCTCATCAATCTGCAACGCCGGCCGTTGCACTTTGCTCTCAACACCTCCTCATATCTATAATGCAAGCGACGCTGCAACCAGAACGCAACAATGAAGCCTACCGCAGTATTTGAGGGTAGGGTCGCCGACATGCGCAAACAAGCCCACCCCATCAACTATGAGCTGGTGGAGCGCAACACGCGAGCTGTACTTCGTGAACAGTCCTTCGAAGAAGGGCAAGCCTCCAGATCAGTTGACGGCTTCCAGCCGGTATGTGGGATATCCTCAAATAATTGTCTTGCGAATTTCCATCAGCGCTGACAGAGAAACAGATCGCCAAAGACACGTTTCTTATTGGATGGCCAATAATTGGAGAGGAGTGCCCTTATGCTAGCTTGGGAATGGAGTGTGACCCTATCTGTGTTTACTGCGATACGCAACACGTCTGCATGCATTGCGCTTTAAAATCACGTTCCGCAGAAGCAAGCATCGACCCGCCTTGTCCACTCAGGATCCCAGGCTGTGGGTGTTCCACCGGTGCGGGACCATCCGTACTCGAGTATTGCCGCAATAATGGCGACCCATTCATGAGCGCCTATGTGCAGGGTGCAGGAGATAAAGAAGTTTTCGAGGAAGAGATCGAGGATGGAGAATATTCCGAGGAGGCCGGGGAGGAAGATGTTATCGAGGAGAAGACCGAGGATGATGGATATATCGAGGACAGCGGAAATGAAATATTGTTCAGAGATGTCGGAGGCGAAGAACCTCTCGATGACGAGAACGAAGGCGACGAGTTGGTTGATGACGGAACCCTGGATTTCTTTACTCCTCAGTCCCTTTGGCCACTGTCTCCAACGTTCTGGAAGGGGCTTGTACCTGGATGGAAGCAGGGTCCTCCACCGCCTTCCCCTCCTCAAGTCGACTGCAATGACTACTCAGCCTATTTGCGCGAGCCTCCAACAATTGAGCCCCAAAGTTCCGTAGCTGCTGGTCAACACGCACGTGGTGGAAGAGCCCATTCTTCTGTGGATGTCCTGCAGTATCCGATGGCTTGCAATGGTTACTCTGCCTTCGTGCCTGTATTTCCAGGACTCACCAATCAAGAGTTCAAGACGGCGAGCCAAAACGCACCTGCAGGGAAGGTCCCCCCTTTCAGTAAGCCTGTAGTAGAAGGGTCACGGCCTCAAGCGAGTCACAGACAAGAGGCTGGATATAACCACGCAGCTGTGGGAGAAACCCGACCGTCAAAGCAACCCGCGAGTAAGAAGGATTCACGGGGCTGGGAAGAGCACGAAAAAGCGATTGTGAAGACCCTTATGGAAGAAGTCATCTTGGAGGGTACATACGCTCAAACAGAGGAGAGATGGAAGGTGATCTCGAGGCGACTGAGTAACCGCTATTCTGTTGACCGGACATGGACGGCGGTGAAGAAGTGAGCCCTACCAATCACAGAGTTCTTTTGTCGAGCCACTAATTCTTTCATGAAGTTATTGGAACCGTCACGGTCGGAGTGACACCAACATCGACGAACGAAAGGTCAAGAAACCTGACCGAATGATCACGGGTTAGTTTGAATGCTAGATAGGTAACATCGTGGAGGCGCTGACGATGTTTCTAGGCGTGCAAGATCCCGAGAGCAGGAGGAAGGCCAGGAACTTGAAGCGCAAAGATGCAGAGCGTAACGATGGCAACGACCTGGTGGATCTGGAAGATGATGATGACTACGATTCGGCACCGTCAGCAAAGCGTCTGAAGTTGTAAAGACGAAGCTTGATGATTCGGTTGGGAAGTAAGCAAAGATTTGAAAATGCGGAAGAATTTTAACAGAAGAAACTTTACTCATTACGAGTAACGATGTGCAAAAACCCTTTCAATTCTTGGCACTGGGTCCTGCGCCCTCCCTCCACCACCTCTGTCTGATTCGAATTATCAACTTTACAACCTTAGGTCGGATTCTAAAGGTTTCCGCACATAGATTAGACTCCTCATCGCTGAGATTCTAAAGCTCTGGAATATAAAAGGTTTCGTAAGAAAATGACTGATTCATAGAGCTATGAATATATTAGAATATTTCCTTTTTCTCTAATGTACGCATGACCTACTAAAATAGTTATTCGAAACTTGAATTATTCTACATAGGGTTTTCACAAGTTGTTCTTGCGATTTAGACTTCGCTGGAACATTTATATTCTGACTTATAATTGTGTAGTTGATACCCTGGATCAGAAGAGGGGGCGCAGGATATCCAGTGCCAAGAATTTAAAGGCTTTCTGCATACACCATATGTACTTTATGCACAGGTGACAGCGGGAATCCTTAGCACCGGCAAGTGATGTTCGTGCTAGCATTCCCTCGGTGTTCTGAGATCGCTTCTGACCTTGGACTGCATAGCAATACGGCGAAAGTATTCATCATGTCACACTATATACCAACTGGGGGGAACTGGTGTCATCTTTTATTACGGATAGTTGTACGTTCCACCACACATCAAACCCTGGCTGTATACCTCCGCTATTTCAATACAATTCACCGGGCAATTCTCGTTGCACTTTATCTTACAGTATCCACTTCTCTCATGCGCCAAGGCAGTGACTCAAAGCAAGACGTTGATGCCTGGCGACAAAGTCTAGCGTGGAGTCGTTGATAGTGAGCAGGTTCGATCCGTTTTCCCGTTACCCACAATTCAGCAATCTTTGAGCCTGTTCGGGGATCCTAAAGAAAGCTTGCGGAACGTACGGCGAAGTCAGCCCGAAGGCGTCAACCAAGTGGTTCATAGGCGTTCCGAGGTTGCAAGCCTATTGCAGAATCAACGTCTCCAGAACTTATGCAGTTGATCACTACCGGGGTATGATCGTCTGCAGTAGACACCGAGTGTCGATTGTGGAGCAAGCATCTGTCAAGGCGGTAAAAATCCTTTGAGTCAGAGTTTTTGATTGCTAAAAACAATCGTTGAGGACCGGCTACGCGGCTTAGGTGCCCTGCTTGGCCTTCTCAAACGTGCGCATCTGCTTGGCCAATGCTGAAGGTTTTGGCTGGGTCGGGTGGCGGTCCTTCCAAAAGACGAGACCCTTGGTACTTGTGAAGGGTGCTTGACCAGACGTTCGGGAAACCGTGCGCGAATGATTTATTCTCGAATCATCGGAAACGAATACATCGCGCGACGTGGGAGTTGAACATTTGAGGATTTGAGGATTTGAGCACCGAGAGCCGGCCAATTCGGGCAACGTGTACGAATAGTCATGGTCGCGATGATATTATCTAGTTTTAGACACAAGTGAACCTGTTGTTCGAGGGTATTGAGCAGCAGCAATGTGCCAAGCTGGAGTCACCGCTGGTTTTCCCAAAACAAAAAAGGTGTTTTCGCTGCCCACTTCCTGGCTTGAATGCATTTTCTCTTCCTCGACGCCGGCTGTACAAGGGTATCTATTGGAATGAATCGCGTATTTGCGCAATTGTGTGACGAGTTGGAAATTCGCCAAGGCCGAAGATGGGTGACTTCAAACTTGGAAATTTGTGCCAGTTGAGACCGAAGTCCAAATTCCGCCTTCTCTAATGAAGAATAGAAGACAGTGTCATTTTCTTCTTCTGTGGTGATGGTGGAGAGAGCCCAGCGTCACCTGCGGACGTTATTCTATGATTTAATCCATTTGTCGACTCAACACGAAAATGTAGTGAAGGGCTGGCAGAAAGAGGGACTGATTCATAGGCGGCTCCCAGTATCGTCGACCTCGTGGACGGAGAATATGATTGGTGAGGGTATGGAGCATTTAAGTGTTCAGGATGTGGGGAGACCGAGTGTTGCGTGGCGCCTGCCGGCTGGCGGTTTGCTTGTGGATGGAGCAGAGGGACAGCAGACGTCGTCAGTATCGAGGCCTCATGCGTGGGGTATTTTGGACTGTCGGCGTTGTCAACCAGTTTCCTGAAAGACGGAAGAGGGTACGGAGGCCGCTGCATAGGCTGAGCAACAGAGCCAACCACGGGGCCCGTCCTTGCTGCGACATCAGCAAATTGTTGGAGTCTTTGGTACGGTGGGGGCGGATTGGCTGGTGATTTGGGAACCTCGTTGTGGCTCCATACTGTCGGTGAGCGGTCAGAAGCTGTTGAGATTCGATTACCATAGAGATTTGTACCAGCTGCATTGTGCAAGGTCGATCGCCAGTAATCGGACTGAGGTGTCTCAGGTGGAGGAAGATAACGGTGGGGATGGGCGACAGCATTTGGCGAGGACATTGAGAAATGGGAGCTCGAGTCAGACACCAAAGACGGAGCCTCACCAAGGGAATCAGGCATGGACACCTCAGAATGGACAGGTGAGATCAAAGGCGGCTCGATCCTCCTTCTAGACGTTGGCACTATGATGTGTCGATCTGCTGGATGTGGTGGTATAGGAGCTGGCCGAGCAAACGATAGAGGCTCAACGTTTTCATCAAAATCAAGGGGGGCGCCACGAATGCTTTCCCTCCGCCGTACAACGATGCGACGTCGACGGTTCATGCCACCATTCCACCAATTCTTGACGGCGTTGTCACTACGGCCTGGAAGACGACGTGCGATCTCTGCCCAGCGCTTGCCCATCTCTGATACCAGGCGTTCTATGATCTCCCCTTCCTCTGCCGATATTGGGTCATGACATAGGCTAGGTTTGAGATTCTGATGATATCGCTCTCTGCACTGCTTGGGAGACCTGGTGCGGATGAATTGAGATATCCTGACCCAATTATGGGCACCTTGAGATTGGACCAGCTCCAGGAGCGATCGATCTTCATGCTGCGACCAAGGTCCTCGTTTGGAGCCCATGGTCATGGACACAAAGCAGCAAAGATGCTAGACCATGGTTAGCATCTCGAAAGCTAACATTGGAGACCGCAGGACGTACATAGCTGTTGACCAGCAATGACTGTAACTATCAATGATGGCAATGCGCATGTACGTAAAATGGTTCGCAGAGTAGAAGAAGTGGGAATGGCGGAATATCAATGGTGTATATAGATAGACTTTGTATAGACTTTGGGGGACAGAAACAGAGGGAAGTGTGCCACAGTAGTAACGATATCGGTCGGACCTGTAACATGTCTCATGCCGAGCAAGTAGCGGGGAGGAATTATGGTCACGGTTTTTTCTTTTCTTTTCTTTTTTTTTCTCCTTGGCTGGAGCTTACAACGCTCGAGTTTGAGCGTTTTTTCACCAATGGTTGAAAATTGGCAAAAGAGGCAAGAGCAGTGAGATGGGGGAGAAAATGTGGACAAGCGTGTGGTTGACAGTGGTCGAGTTGGGGAAAAAGTGAAAGAGGCGCTGGTCGATGGCTTGGATGGCTTGTCAATGATGCTAGTTTGGGAGTTGTTTTTTTCTGCCAGTGTGCTTGTGGGACAGTGGGAATGGAGGAAAGGTGTGTGTCCGGAGAAGGAGGCTAAGGGACTAGATAGATGTCAAATCTGCTGGAACAAATCTGCTGGAATACGTGGTAACGAAACAGTAATATTTGAATATCAATGATACAAGACCATGGCTGTTGACAGGGAGCCAGGGAAGTGGAAAGGAAGATGGGAAGGAGTCAAAAATAGTCTAGTAGTATAGTAGGAAGGAGCAAGTAAGTTCGTTCCAGCAGGCCGGTCACGATCAAAGTGGCTGACGTAGTAGGATGATGATGATGATGATGATGATGATGATGATAGTAGTATCTTACATGCCTTTCAATTAATTGCAATGCTCCTACTGATCACTACTTATCACACATCCTGGCTGGACTATACTTTGCATGAGGCATGATTGGCATGCTTGGCATGACTGATCAATCCCGAGCCTATCAATGTTCCATGTAATAAACATGCCGAGTTTACGCTCTTTAAGTCGAGCGTATAATAAGCCCGCAAGCCCCTGGCCAAAGTGGTGCGTAATGCGTATAATCCAGGAGTGGGATGGCAGGCTTGCGGGTGGAATTGTATGGATGCTACGCCCGATATAGAGCAAAAAGCAAGGATCAGCCAGCCGCAAGGCGTAAGAGTAGTAAGAATAGTAAAGGATAAAAGTAAGGATGGTTATGGGTCGTAGTATTCTCCCATATGTCATGCACGGGCGTTTGGGACTTGGCGCTGGATCGCAGAATTCCCGGGGGTATTCTTGGGGGTCTAGACTTTTTGACAGAACGCCATCACTAGCGGTAGTGCTGCAGAGAACTCGCCTACCAAAACAACCTTGCCGTTGTACCCTGTCGTCATATCAAATAACGGTTCCAGGGGTCAAATGTAGGACAAACATTCCACCACTTGTTCTTCAATTGCCAGTGGACATTGACCAGTCTTCATACAACTTTCCATCAACTAGCATTCTTGTGAGAAAGCTGAATCAGCAATGTCCTTCTCTCTCTCTTACCCTCTCTCTCTCTCTTTCTCTTACTCCCTCTCTCTCTCTTTCTCTTTCTCTCTCTCTCTCTCTCTCTCTCGCGTCTCGGGACATGTAAAGTAACCGCGGGACCTGCGGCCGCATCATGCACCTGGAGTCGACCGAGCACGAGCGAGGAGCGATGGGCCTTAGTCCGATTCACCGTGCGTTAGTGTATATGCAGCATGACGGCAGTCCACGTACCCACGAACCAACGTTGCGACATGGTAGACGCTAGGATCTCATCTGGCAGGGTTTGGTGGGAATCGGGACCGAAAAACGTTGTGCAGATCATTCTTGCCTTCGACCCAATCAAGCAAATCCTCCGGGAGTTGACCCTTGACCCAGTGACGCTTCAGCTCCAAAAGGTAATCGTGGCGCACTCGGACTTCCAACGGTCACCCTCATTCGTAGAGGTGGAATATCGGCCCTTGTATTTCCGTACCAAACGCCTGAGGCTCCCGTAATGTGTTACGATACACCTTGGATTTATCGAGACACCGTTTGACCGTCATGGTCCATGGAGGAGTTCGGGCCAACTGCAAAGTGGGGTTTGCAGCTCTGGCGCATGTGCAGGGATTCCTGAAACACTACTTGCGTGCGTGCCATCGAGGAGCATCTCGCATCTTGCATCTTGAATTTTGATTCTGAGCCTCGATAGATCGCCAAGAGTGGGTAAATCAAAGATCGTAGACTACCTAAAGTATCTTTGCGGTCCAGTCAGTACGTCGTCCATCGTCATGCGCATTTCGCATGACAGATCGGGATGCCGCTGGACCGTTGCGCAGTGCGTACGAACAGGATGGGGTGAAAATGATGGCTCTGGCAGTCTAGAACGTAGAGACCCGGCTCGCTTCATTTGACTGCTTGCGGCATCGTTCCCTGCAGTGTCGCCCGCGGCGTTCCTGCTGCCAGCTGCCAGCTGCCAGGCCCAGGTCTGCACTTCAACGACACACCGAATAATAATGGGGAGCGGAAAGTGCATAAGGTTGGGACCGGCTGCAACCTACGAGGCCGCTAAAATGCAATGGTCTGAGGGTCTTGAATGGTCGATCAGTCAAAATAGCGAGATAGTCCGGAGCGATCGACCGATGAACCAGATGCATTTTTTTTTTCTTTCTTTTCTTCTTTTTAACTTCCGACATTTCGATGACAACAATGATACTGCCAGCTTCCAACGGTCGTCATCTACGACCAACATTGTTTGACATCCATGGGCTTCATGGCTTCATGGCTTCATGGCTTCATGGCTTCATGAAGCGCCGAGACTAAACTCAATGCGCGCTTTTTTAGCGACTGCCGAATTGTGACATTTGGGGAGAGAGAGGGGGGGTGTTATTAAAGTACTGAGGCATTGAATGCTTGGCACGGCAGTGAAAGGCAAAGTATTATTATGGCATATGTCGGCACTCAAAAGTGCGCAGATAGACGAGATCTGTGTCTGGGAATTTGGGAGACTGGGACTGGGACTGGGATTGGGACTGGGAGACTTTGAGGCTTTGGGCAGGAAACTAAGCCCTTTGAAGCCTTTAGCCTCATCTGTCTATGGCGCCTTTAGCCAGGGCAAGGTAAAGTAAAAGTAAGGTAAGGTATTTGGAATTTGGAATTTGCTCTGCAGTCTGCAAGAATAATGCAACCTGCAGCCTGCAACCTGCAACTTGGTTCAAACAATGACAACTATAATAATAATGATGATAATAATAATGATGATAATGATGATGATAATAATAATAATAATAATAATAATAATGATAATATTCTTATTATCATTATTATTGTCACCCACGTCGGGTCAGGTCATCCATCAGCTTTGCCTTCACGGGGATGGGGTTGCTGAAAGCCAATCGCTTTCGACATCCAAAACCAACGTATCCAGAAGCCAGAAGCATATATACACCACCTGATGCCCGTCACGGAGATTTACCTTCACACTTTATGTCCTCTCAACTTAATGTTACTTTGAAGCCATCATCTTTTTCCCCTCCCTACCATCCCACCATTTCCCCAGCATCTAACCCCCCCCCCCCCCCCTTTTTCCTTTTCCTTTTCCCTGTCCCCTCCTCTCTTGCTACTTGATCCCATCAAGCTCGTCATGTTTGTAAGAGAAGCTGTGAATAAGTTCCGAGCGATGACCTCGAGGAACTTCAATTCTGCCGGTAAAACGCTTTGAAAAAGTCGCATCCGTGTTTGAAAATCCTGATGATGGGGTTAAGCTAAAGATTGCAGGTCTCATGCTTCCTTCACACGCTTCGAGACAGGGGACGTATCGTCCAGAAAACACGATCTTCAAATGAAGACATGAGCGGAAAACGGGTTGCATTCGCATGTCGTATCCATCACAAATCTTCTGGCTCTGAGTCAGGCAAATGTGGCAATGCGGCCTTTTGGGGTTGGAGGCACAAGGGAACAGGGGCCATTTCCTTCAAAATTCAATCACGGATGGAAAACAGGGCGTAAAATCCACTGCATATCTGCCTTCCATCTTCTACCTCGAATATCCCGAACATTCGGTTCCGTCGCCCAAGCCACCGGCTCCTCGAGAAGGTAATGATATGTCCAGAATATCCCCAGCGCTATGCAATATGCCATCATACCGTATCCAATGTCAGAAGTTTCCTTCTCTTGCTCCTTCGATATTCCAGATTCCGTACCTCGTAATCATAAAATCGTACATGTTCGAATAACAGAATCCGTCATCATTATAACCAAATATCCCCGCCTTCTCCATTGACCCATCTGCGCCACGCTTCCGAATACGCAGATTCTAAATCCCGAACCCAGCGTCGAGTATCAAAGAGCGGGCTAGTCCGACGACTCTCGTAGAGTAGCTTCCTGAGCTCCATCAATCTACCCCTACCCATTCCCTGCTTGCCGTCCTCCACCGGGTACACAAGGTCACTACCAAGCTCTACCCCTTGCTCCTCGTACGCGTCGTCACTATCAGTAATTAAATCCTCTGCCGCTCTGTCGCCTTCAACGTCCTTCGGCAACGCCCCCCTCAGGATTGAAGCAGCCATTCTCGAGCACATTTTATACTCATACCTCGGCAGGGTTAGCAATGGCGTGCCGGACCAGAGCACATCTGCAGCGGTGGTGTGGGCATTGCATTCTGGCGTGTCTAGAAAAAGATCGCAGACACGGGCTCGCGAGATATGCTGGTGCTTTGGCGCAACGTCTGTGAAGATAAGTCGAGACGCGACCTCGGCGCCAACCCAGCGCAACGCTGTTTCTCTGAGATTCTCCTCACCGAGGTCGGGAAATCTCAGGAGCCATAATACCGCCTTTGGTGTGCGGGACAGGATGCGTAGCCACGTTCTGAACGTAGTGGGATCGATCTAAGAGTCATAGGGGGGTCAGTCATATGCAAATTCGGTGGCAGACGGAGGACCCGCAAACCTTGTAAAGCTGGTTGAAGTTGC